AAAATTTCCACAAAACCCCTTCTGATAAAACTTAGTATTGTATTTTAAGAATGTTGTAAGTTATGCCTATTTTTTTTAAATCAAATACACTAGCATGAAGTTGACCAGCCTGATGTTGAAACTAAATCATTTGTTAATTTTAATTATAATTGTCTGTTAGATGGGTTCTAGGTTCTTAAGCATTAACAAACACTTGACTGACTTTTATTCATTTTAAAGTGTTTAACATGAGTTGTAAACCCAATGTAAATCATAAGCAAATTGAAACAAAGTAGTTTTCTAGGTAGTATACTATGCTATGCTCCAACCATAATTCAACGGTAAAAAGTCAATATCTTGCATTTTTGTCCCTGTAGGAAATTATAACTGTAAAATCATATCGATCACTTGTTATTGTATGGCTACTGTCTTCAAAAAACATACAGTTTTGATTGCTAAATGTTTAGTCAAAGTTATTAGTTCATACATTCATGAATAGACAAACATCTTTAATATTTTCAATTAGTTTACAGAAAACTCTTAGTTAAATAGCACAGTTAGGTGAGACAATAATTTATGGACGACCTTTGAGTGCCTCCAAAGTGACCTTGAGAATATTCACCTAATAACTAGGACCACATGAAGGTTATGAACCAATGTGGGGGATTAGAATTATGATTTACAGCTGATGATTAAGGTTAGGAAGTAGATCTATGGTTTTCATTACGAATTGACATTAACTATAATGCCAAAACTCTATTCAGTCAAATGGATGAGTGAATTTCGTGTCGAAATCCGAGACCAGTTATCTTATACTTGATTGTTTCGTCCATAAAATATAGTCTCGCCGCATAATCATGTACTGTTTTTCACAATAATAATAATCAACAGTATCCGCTTTGATAGTAACAATAATGTAACGAACACTATGACAGAGGTACAAAATAGAAATAGTAACAAAATCCTAATCCTACTAGATACTGAAAATGTAATATCTAAAAGATTTGATATTCATTGAGAATGTCACAGAGTTTAAATATTACTAAATGTGAAATCGAAGTTTCGTAATAAGATAAGGTAAATTTTACAAGTAAATTAAAATGTAATCAAAATAATTAGGATAACAGAAACAAATCACATGTGAAATGTAAACAAGATATAAGACAGAGAAAGAACGGGTGATTTCGCGGAATTAAACAATGGAATTAATTTATTTTCTACGCGTGGTTCTCATTCCTCTTGGTATACAGATGGAGATTAGGAAACCAAAAACAAAAGTTCGCTACATTTGATAGTCTTTAGTTCATCTTATAGGTGATTTTGATTGATGACTTGATTTAAGTTGAATAACCCATATTCACAAGGTATTCAGTTAATCACATCATTATTAATCTACTATAATCTTCTTTAAATATACATAGAAATTTTATTAAACCTTTCTTGAATAGAATGCTCACTTAACGACCAAAATATCTTATTCTGTATAAACAAATCGACTAAAGAAAACTTATCTCATAGTTGAGATGTAAAGAAAGATCTATGGACATTACCTTGTAGTGTTTTTCATGTTTAATTAGTTTGGATAAACTTTGAATCTAAAACTCATAGCATATTTAAAAGCAATTATTTTGGTGGAGTTTTGTTCTCTGAGCTGGATGGTTTGGTCTTCTATTTGAAGTTTGTGCTGATGATGTCGTTCAGAAGGACGATGAAAGCTCCACGACCAAACCATCCAGCTCAGAGAACAAAACTCCACCAAAATCATCCACCTGAGCTACAAATCTTCTCCGCCATCTCAAAAGCAATTATTTTAATATCATCACGTGGATTGATAGAAATATAGACTTTCAAAGTTTTTACTTCTTCCTTTTCGAAACATTTAACTAATTATCTATCCTATATTATGTGGTTCTTTCTTGATCCCATTCGAAAACTTAAAATTTCGGGTAACTAAGATTTCATATTATATATTGAGCATCACTTTATATAATCTCGAAAATGTAGATAAGAGATCATATTTAAATACAATTTTTTTCAACTAAAATAAATCCTTTGAAAAATATTTATTGTTAATCTACATTATTTTGGAATTGTAATATCTCTACTTCAATATAGTTTAGTCAATTTAGTATATTATAGGCTAAAAAATGGCGGAATTACTTAAATTCAGTTATTTTTTGTATACTTACTAGCCGAAACTACACATTTATCCGTAGGTGGTGAAATAAATATGCTGACATTACCCACACAATACGCGTGGAATGGGTGAGATTTCATTATGAATTATTTTCTTATCCCCTGTTAATTATCATGTGCCTAAATCGCCAATAGAACACCGACTTATATGACCTTGGCGCTGTGCCAAAACCAATGACGCGTTAATCAATACAGAAGCCTAGAGTCAACTCGGAGTCCTTATTGGATCTTCTCACCTAGCCCTGTCTATTTGAGTCCAGAACACAATTTCAACTACCATTGTATGAATCATGTATTTCAGACACACTCAGTTTCTATAAAAGCAAATCAAACCGTATCACACCATAAAACAGAAAATAACAATTATAGAAGACCAGGCCAAAAGTGGCTGTCAATGTAACCAACAAGTTGAGGATAACTTAAGAATAGTAAAACGTGTAATAGTCAATAAGTCAAATGGAAGCTTATAACAAAAGGAATATGAATATACATATAATAGTTACTTAACAGTTATCCAATAGGAATATATGTAGTAGTAGTAGTCCATAAATAATTCCTAGCAGTTACCATTCATTTATTCTTCGTTAGTATATAACAGTTCCATCCTATATTAGTACATTCCGACAAACAATTAAGCTTTAAAAAGTGGCAAAGTGTATTATTCAGGGTATAGTTAGTTGAATATTATTTTGTATTAAACCGGATGTGCAATTTTCGCGTTTCAGATCATACATTAAAGCGATACATAAAAATCTATTGGAATTTATGAACTACTTCTACAATTATAGTAGTTTGAATATTTGTAAAAATCACACTAATTTTTTCCAAAAGGGGTTTTGTAGATTTTTTATTATAGTTGAGATCATGAGTCAATTGAAGCTAGACCACCATGGAAAACCTGGAAGTACTGGACGGCCGACTCATCCTATTGTGGGACTCCTCAGCAGTGCGCATTCACGATCTTTTTCAAATAGAAGCTTTTTTTTAGATACGGCAGCAATGTACAGAGACTAATAATGAACCATTCAAAATAATTAATAAAAACAAAATTTGAACTTATTCTTAGATTGAATCACATTCATCTATTCACTTTTAATATGCTCAGTAAGTCTGACTAGCAAATGAATGACAACCTTGTATATGAGGAATTGAGATCAGTCGCCACAATCTATGGGTAACACTATCCATAGAAATTTGTGTTCCAGTTGGTCAACAAATTAGCTAATTCATGAACGTCTGCGTAACATTTCCGGCTTGACCCATTCGTTTCATTAAAAATTAAATCCTTCACGGTACTCAACACGTTCAGTAGTGATATTTCTAGACATCACTTGGGAATGGAACAACAGGATGATACCATGAGATCTTTAAAAGTGGTCAACGAAGTCTCGTTTTCTAAAATCTACCGAAGCTCTTGCTATCAAACAACTCAAACTGGTATGATAGGAAAAAGAGTCGAAATTAGATTGATATACTCATTATAATTGCTACTCAACATTAATTCCGTTTTAATTCAATGTCTTGATTACTCAATGTAGTATTAGTTTTGTTTTCCCGTATGACATTTTATTTTGTGCAACATAAGATATTCTTGTATTCAATTGACCTAAACTATGGTCAACATGACATGTAGCATATGATTTGTTATAACTCAAAGTATTTTTCATATATGTGATTTAATCCTAATTATTAATCAAAATGGGGGTACGAATCATTATAAAAATGAGCGTATTTTCAACTAGGGTCGTCGTGTTTTTGGAGTTAATAAACTTTCACTTGTACCAGTTTTCGTGTTCTTACTTTCGCACCGTGGGAATTGCAGTAGTTCCTCATTTTTTAGTATAAGTGACAAGCGATTCCAAAATAACAATAAGCGACAACCAGATATAACAATTACTGACGCAGTCATGACAGTCGGCCACCAGATATAACAATTGGCAACGGGGATTTCGGAAATCAAGAACGTCATAACAGAAACCCAACTCGTTGCCAAGGAAACAGCCGTCATTCATTCTTTGCCCTGGTAACGTGACATATTTGATCAGTTTATCCTCTGTCTGTCATTTGATTACTTTGTCGAACCATTTTTAGACTCGATTCAAGTTGATAACCCAGTGAGCCTTCCTCATTTACCTCTAATTATTAATGGCTTTTATTCATAACGTTATAACCGCTCATTTTTAGCCCTATGTCCTTTGGTAGTACCAATATCCTTTGTCCATGTGTACTATTATGATGCATAATACCACATTTCACTCAGCCATTCAACTTCATTTTAATCTTTGATACGTGTTCATACTAGCATTTAACCAAATTAATCCACGTGTTCTAAAGCTTTCTGTAATTCTATTTCAAAACAATACACATTAAAAGCAGCTATTGATAACCTGATGAAATAAAATGAAGTCATATTATTCAGCTCAAAACGCTGTTCTGAAAATGACAGATAGATAAAAATTTAATTCACAGTGACGAAAATACATTACGAAATGGCCAAATCGCTTGCTAAATTACAGACAATGAATACATTCGAGTTGCAGGTTGATGAAGAGGATTATTACAAGCACAGAACTCACCTTCAATGTCAAAACAACTTTAGAACAACACTTGATTGTATGCGAATCGGTGTATCATTAAGCAGAAGGACGTGAAGAGTAACTCACATAGGTCATCCTAAGATTTTTGGTATAAACAATATACTTTTGATCACTTTTCCGTCCCTTGTTGCTAAGAAAAGCAGCATTTCTGATTTATGTACTTTTATGTAGATTTTATGTTGATATATGTTTCCCCGATATATAGCGGAAATAAGGGAGTACTAATAATAATCAGTAACAAACATTTGTATTTATACAAAAATATATATATTTACAGTAGAATCAGTTGCCATATTTGTACAAAAGCAGTTATCCTCGAAATGATTTCACTAGAAGACGGTAGTCTGAACAACATGATGTTTAATTCGAAAACTTTACTAAAATTCAACAGTTTGGAAACTAGGTGCATGGACCTAATAAACGATTGAAAAAAAGAACTAAAAGTAATATCCGGTGGAATAATTAGTGATATAAAAATGACTTTCTTTAAAATGAACTTCGAGCAATTAATTAAAACCAAGACAATCAAATTTCTGTATAAAAGGTTTCATCTAACCATTAGAATACGAACTTCTAATCCATCAATGAGACATAACTTAGCCTTTACATGTGATTTGAATAAAGGTAATCTATTAACATAACAAAAATGTATTCCTAACACAAGAATCGGGAAATACTATTCCAATTACATTTCATTGATATATTCGAATCCTGTTAGTCATAGTAATATATTTAAAACAAACTGTTTTGTTTATTTCTCTGTAGTTTTGAAGTGTGATTCTGTTATATGTTAGTTGAAATGAAATGAAGTGAGCTTACTTAAAATATTATACTAACTGATAAGAGATACTTTTTGATAGATTTACTGAGAGGATGGTGGAAATATAAACATTACGTCATATTTCCCATATTAGGAATATCTTAATTGCACGGCAGAGTAAGAAGTACTTAATCAGAAAAAAAGATATTTCTGGATGATGCAGACTGGAAAGTAACTTTTGTGTTATCTGCTGACACCAATCACGTGTAAAGTAACTAAAGCGAGTTGAATTTCGTGAGAAAAATGAATATTTGGCTTATCCAAAGGACTTCCCTATGTCCCTGAGCCCAACATAAAAAACGTCTAGACATGCAGTAAGATTTTATTATGCACTGAAGAATTTGCAAGACATCAAAATGGAGAACGATGTAAAGGAATAAGTGTATTCAACAAACCCTGAATCATTCACTACACAAAAATGTTAAATACCCAGACAAACGAGTAAATAAAACCTCGCTGACAAATGAGACTTTTATGTATGGATGTTTACACACAAACGAGTCAGAGATGTGCATAATTAAGGCTACTTATTGATATAGTTCTGATAATGTGACGAAATAAAACATATCACTTGAAGTTTTTGACAGAATCAACCATCTAATGATATAGAAACACTACCTACATTTGGTAGGATGTTTATAAATGTGAACTATGCATCCTCAAATATTATCACCTGAAACACAAAGACTAGTGTAAGTACCATGTATTGAGTAGCCTTTGAATTTATTCTAACCTCTTTAGTAGTCACACTATGTGACATATTTACGGGGTTTTGCATTGTAAGACTAAAGAACTTGCAGAACAAATTGAAATCCGGTATAAAATAATTGATATTGTTTATATTTGTTTGACGAATACTTGGTAAAACATAGGTAAACGAAAGAAATATTTGAACCAGTGACTCAAACTTCTAACAATCAAATCAGTGACCGAGAGTTGCTTTTAGATTAATGCTACACATATGAAATATTTGTTTCTCGATTTTCTACTGAAACAATATAAAAATAATCAGAATGATATTCTTACATACATAATTAAACCTAACTCACCAAGATAATCATCCATTAGAGTGCCAACGGCGAACTATGAAAAAAAAATCAAAACGCAGGTTAGGAATATCGCAGTACACAGACAAGCGTGGGTGACTTATTAAGTCTTTACAAACGACTAACTTGTATGAATAAAAGAACAACTGTAGACTACAAAACCGTAATATTGATCGAAAAAAGACCATTTCTGACCACAAAGCAATAATAACTTACAGAGAAAAAATAATATTCATTTTTACAAAGGTATGTAAGGCAAAATTTAGAACTATGATTTGAAAGACTAAAATGATATTACGTGAATATATTCGGTCGTCCTCTAGCGAGTTATGTATTTAAACACATAAACATTGGTACAAGGAGGCACCCAATACATATTCGCTACATAAATCATTCAACTTGTGCGAGGGTTGAAATACTGGCCGGGTGCCCGAACCGAAGCAGGCAAGCGAAGAAATATGTGGAATTACCTTACATCTTACGGCTTAGATTATCGTAGAGGTCAGTTTCTTATAATAAATATAGTCAGGCACAAATGTGTATCATTCGAGGGTCCTGTGGCATGTCAGCAGGGGAAGATGAAACTAACAGGAAGAATATCAAAGGATTCGGAATAAAAGTAGTACCAAGTAATTTTAATTTCACGGTTCAAGGAGAAACAAAAAGTGTATACACCTACGCCATTGAGATTGATTCTGAGGCATGTCACTCAGTCTCCAACCACTAGTTACGATAGTCGTGCAGACCCCAACCAATTGGTCTGCACCTACCAACATGGCTCAGACCAGAAGTTAGTGACTTCAAGGACTGATGCTACGTTTTGGTTTTGCCGTCCCTAACTTTTATCCGTCTTCAACACCAGTCAGCATTGCATGCTGTGGTAAACGGTGGTTGGGCATGCGTAATATGTAGACCAACCATCTTAGTCGATGAGGATTCACAACCTCATCGACTGATTTACCATCATTCCCTAATGCACTGCGTCCAACCTCACTATTACTTACCTGATGATCCCAACAGATGCTGGCAATATTTCTAGGACATCTGTGATCAAAAACTAGTAACTTACGAGTGTCTTCTCTCGATGGCCACATTTCCCAGCCGTAACGCAAAATAGAACGAACTGCTGCACGGTATACTTGTCCCTTAATTAATAGACGGATATTTCGATTTCGCCGTAGGTGACGTATGTTTTCAAAATTCAAACCAACCTTTTGAATCAGTGTAGAGATTTCGTTGGACACCAACCCATTAGGGTTGATCAGACTTACAAGATGAGCGAAGTTGTCGATACATCCGACTACTTCACTCTCTATCCTTAGTTCAGGTGTTGACGCAGGTCAGTTTTGAAACAATAAGTTGCATTTAAAAAGGGAGGAACGCATCCCAAACATTCTGGTATTGTTGCTCAGTGCTACCAAAAGACTGCATTTTATCAGCGTCTTCAAACAGAACTGTGTCATCTGCGTATTCCAGGTCGATTAGTGGACCTCCTGGAAGGAGGTCGAGGACTTTATTTCCAGCAGGTCTATAATGAAATATAACAAAAACCGGGGTAGTTGACAACCTTACCGGACACCACTTGAGACTGCAAAATCAGACGAAAGTTCGCATTAGCTCTGACTTGACTGGTAGTGTTCGAGCTCGATCGGGATTTAACTGCTGCAGCTAAACATTGGTTTATAAGTATAAAATATGGACGGAACTATAATTTGTGGGCGAACTAATCAGGTAAAAGATAACTGGTCTCGGATTTTGGCACGAAATTCACTCATCCATTTGGCATTTTAGCTTATATCAGTTCGTAATGAAAACCATAGATCTAATTCCTAACCTTAACCATCAGCTGTAAATCACAATTCTAACCCCTCACATTGGTTCATAACCTTCATGTGGTCCTAGTTATTAGGTGAATATTCTCAAGGCCACTTTGGCGTCACTCAAAGGTCGTCCATAAATTATAGTCTCACCAAAATATATTTCCTGAAAGACCAGTAAACTGACTACAAATGAAGGACTGCTGAAAGTATGACTCGAAATGGAGCGAGGTCTCTTGATTACTTTAAAGAATACTTGTAACATTCATTACAAATTGATACCGAAAGCATTGTCGGGTATCATACTTGGTCAGTGGTGAACAGGTATTCCTTTCGACAACATGAAACATACACTAGTCAACAGCATGTTGTCTACAGCCCAAATGTTTAGGATGATAACAAAACTTGGGTTGGCCAGTCAGTTACGAATAGAGCAGAACCTGACAAAAATGTGTCGTCCCAAGTTGAGTTGAAACAAATGTAACTAAATGAAAAACAGAAATGTGAAGGATCAACTCATTTAGAAGTGATGCAGTGCTAGTTATATTGAATGGAATCTTTAAAATAAGCAAAACTTACAATATCACTGGCGTCAACTCTGAGACCAATTATGCGGATTCTAATACGATCTTCAATCTGTACTGTTTGGGTCTACAAGACAAACGCATAAAAACCCACCAGTGAGTACAATATAAGGGAAGAGTGATGACGAATCTAATCTATACTATTACATGGTAAAACATACCTCTTCTTCATCTTCATCGTTGAGACCGTCAGTAGTGGTCTCAGCACCTTCAAATTTAATATTGGAGGGGACAGACTAGAAGATGTATTTGTTAATGGGTACATACATATTTAGAAATGAAAATAGTGAGAGGGCCAGCTTCCGCAAACACACCAACCTTAGTAACCTGGGTAACGATAGCATCTACGACCTCGCCCTTGAACGGCCGGTAGACGATGGCACGATATACTATACGGTATTGCACAAATCCTCGATTTGGCTGTATTATACCAGCACCAATATGCTCTATATTCGTAACAGCGATGATAAAGCCATACCTGTACATCAACTAAGAGAACAACATGACTTACTTCCCGGAGCAAGTTCCTTCGACGTCCGAAAACAACTTGGTTTTCACTGTTTCTGTTAGATTCGGTCCAAAATATTTTGGGTGTAATAATATTTCATGTTCTAACTTTATCTACAAAGCGAAATACGGTATAGATAGATATGACACTACATGGTAAAACATTTCGGTTTGTACCGTCCTACTTGTTTTTCCGGGAGCTAGTGAAGGGGTCCACTAATTAATTTGAGAGCTAATTCCAACCATTCTCTTATCGAGCCATTGCATTTTTAGATAAAAATTATTAACGAATCCGTCGGAGCAATCCGAAACTTAAGTGAAAGAAAGCTTAAATATAATAAACTTCATTTCTGTTAAAAGTAAAACTATGTTAAGTGAACTTCAAGTTCACCCAAGCTTGCAGTTCGAAAAAATTCCGAGCAGTGTAAATGACTGGAAATCCCCGAAGTGCCTAAGAGTTTTCATTCAAGTCTAAATTCTATAGTGTTTGATGGCAATATCGACCCAGTTCATAAGAAAATTTGCTCATTATTCATCTTTTCCAGAATTTCCTCAAATCCGTACAACCATTGGTATTGACTAATTTTTTCAGACGTGCCTTGATTTTATTTTTGCACATAGTATGTCACTGTTTATTTTTAGGTAAATTCAACGCAACGTATGTCAAATCTCTTTCTCCCTCTACTTACTGACACAAACAAACTGTTATTATATCTGTTATATACACTTGCGAGTCGTACTTTACATCTCTACCTAATCAACCAAACTACACTGTCTTGATAAAGAGACAACTTGGATGCAATTCCCTCATAACGTACATATAGATATGTATTCCTTAGTACATTGTCAAGTTATTTTATATGTTTACTTATTCTTAACATGGGTAATAACTAAGTATTTGTATTTAGGCCCCATCACGAGCAATAATAAGACTTATTAATTTTTATTGTTCAGGTCAAATACAGTACTTAACTAGGTTCGATGGCGCAGTGTCTGCAATCATTTCTGTATTCGATATGAAATGTTTATACGTATCATTTGTGGATGTACTCCACTTGTAATGTAACTTTATATTTCCATCGCATTAAGCATTACAAATATGCAGATGCATGTGCTATTCTCTGCTCTGTTTTATGAGCCATGAATCTCGATTGCTCTGATAGGCAACTCAAGATATTACTCCTTTACCACACCTTTCATCACTAGGTATTAATGTGATTTCTCAGATTCCGAATAAATACTTGAGGCTTACCAATACAGACTATTTGTGCCGATGACCGGAACAACTCAAGTTGAATTGAAACAGTTTAGAGCGTGTCTCTTGAAGATACAATAGTTTTGAACGGGTTACCGTCAGTAGTCTGTCCGGAACTCACATAGTTATCAGTATTTCCATGTATTAAGAGGATTTCCGTTAATAGTTCATACGTATTATTAGTATTACTAAGTCCTGTGACGGCTAGCAATCAATAGGTCGAACAAACCTCCCCATAACTATGTAAACCATATTAAACGTAACAAATAGCTGAAACATTATTGGGAATTCTTCCACTCCACTTTTATGTTCTTTCAGTTGACTCTGTAATGCAGATGTACTTTGAAATCAACTCATAGGGACAGCATATCGGGATAAACGAAAACTGACCTTTCTACTTTTAACCAAGAATAGTGATAACATTCATATTGGTAACACACTGATTGTGTTCCATATGATTACTATTCTGAACACAAAATGACTGTACTTTCAAAAAGATAAACTACTAATCACCAGGTACTGTTATAATAACTTGTTAAAATAACTCAATTCCTAATCCCTATGCACTATCATAATGCCACTTTGTTAAACTCTGAAGAAATATCCAGGTAGATTTTCATTTTAAACGCGTTAAGAATTAAATAAAACACTGGAATCAGTACACGTATTTCTCGATCAGTTGCTGTTGAACCTGGAGGATTCTCAATATCCTTTTGTTAACCTCCAGAGCTCAACAATCCTACGCTATTCGTTATCAAAACAACTCCACGTTCATTCTAAGGGAAGAGTAGTGTAGCGCTATCGGTTCATAACCATATAATCATTGAAGCTGAACATAAAATTGCTTAGACTTCCATTCAATACTCGATACTTAAAGAAGGTCGAAAATGGGGAACATGAGAACGATTTGTTGGTATGGCATGGCTCAGCCCTGCGGGCGTGGTCATTCTGTGTAACTAATACCTTTCCATACTAATTATATTATTTTATTCCCGGCTGAAATATGTTCATTAGAAGTACTGAACATCATACTGCTGACCGTCATGACATAACGAGCCGTCATAGACAATGACGTGACTTCTACTTCAGATCAAATAAACTAGATTGTCACATCATGACAAATCTACAATTTTGGGATTAGATCCGTTGTTACAGAAGCAAGGTAAAATGTACCACTACTGACTAAGAGCGTAAATTTACAAGCGCTTTTCTCAGTTATCGTCCGAACTGATGATTTCTACATTTCCATGGCGTTGGTCTGTTAAGGGTCTCATGACAGACTTACAATTCAGTGTGAGCCATCCGTAAAACCTTACCAGATTGTTAAACGTGCATAAGTGCTTAAATGTAATCGGTTCTGAGTATTCGAGAGGGCCATCCTTTTCTTTTGCTGTCGGTGAATACTTTTAGTGTCAGTACTGTGCCTGAAAACGTCTAAGCAGTTGGCTGAAACCCGAAATTTCTGAATGCTTACAGTAATGTCATGCTTTCCTAAATTCGTTTAAAAACGAGGTCCAGATTATGGAAATGAGATTCTCTGTCTGGACTTGCGACCAAATAATCATCAATATACACGTACACGAAGTCGGGACCCCTAAATACGTTATCGATGAAACTATGAAAAGCTTGTGCAGCGTACCTTAAAGTGAGCGGACGGGCGAAAATTTTAGAGTCCGAAAGAAATAATTATAGCCCTTTCACAAATTTCATCTGCAGCCACAGCCATTAGCAATATGCTCTATGCAGATCCATTTGTGAGAAATCAGTTGAATCTTTCATGATAGCCGTTGGGCAGAGGGTGAAAACTGAAGGTGGCTTTTCCACAAAGTCGCCGTTAATCACCAGTTAGACACCACTTATTGCTGTTCTTTTTAAAGACCATGTGCAAGGGAGATGCTCATTGGCTGTTTGATGACAAGGTGCTAGTTATATACATAGCTAACCAATCAAATAGTCGTTTAGGTGCCCATCAAGTCAATCTGGTCTGATGTGTCTGTAGACTATCCCTGGTGCATGTGACCTGCCAGTTGAAGGACACCATTATCCTATTATACTAGTGTGACTCATAATTTTTACTCATTCCGATAAGACACACAATACTGGTCTGTATGTTTGTGTGTTCCACTTTTCACCTTTAGAGACAGATAAAGTTTAAAGCCAAGTTGTCTTTGTTCTGACAATCGCTTTTACATAAACTCGGGTATTATCGGTATCGCGTTCACAGTTCTAGTAGAATATCATACACAGGGTAATTTACAAGACTCTTATGTGCTCGAATTCGTATTTAGTGAATCTTAGCCATCCGGAAACTTGTTGACGAGCTTTCGAATAATCAGTTGATCCTGTAATCGATATGTGGTGTGTAACGTTGCTGGTTACATGTCGTAGTTTCGGTTGCGTTTTGAAAGCTTTTTGTTCAGTGATTTTTGGAAGTGTAGATCGGTTATATGTTTTCTCGTGACGAAGCATGCATTCGGAAAGTGGACTTCCACAAATTGATAGTTTAGTACTTCTGTCTAATGACCTTCGTTTGCTTGAATTGGTGAACAGCTTGTGTTGTGTCAGGTCTATATCAGTGATTGGCATCAAAATGTTTTCAGCAACGAAAAACAAGTGAATGCATCTGTTCAAACTGAAATAAAGTTGAACATACCTTCAGCCATATGTGGCAATTGGTGTTCTACTTACCTTGTGAAAGTCGATGAACGGTTCTTGAAGATGGTCACTTGTATTCGTGGGAGGAACGCTTAATAATGCATCACGGTCGACGAAAAACTTTAATCATCACATGAATGGTGTATAACAAACATCTATGTCCATCGGCTGAGGATGCTTTTAATGCGCGCCGGTGGGGAGCTTTCCTGAAAGAGTTTTGTGACAGTATGTTTGAGATTGAAAAAACTGCAGGATTCCTAACAGTTTCCGGAAGGCCTACTGTGCTTGTTGTGGCAGTAATACCAACATTCAACAGTTTGGGTGTTCATTCCGTCATAACTAGGATAAGGTGCATAGATAGGAGAAAGTAATTAACCAAGGATACGAAAATAATATCACGATGTGTAAGAAAATTAAATGTGGTGCTTCAAAAAAGAACGGACTGACAGTTTATCGTTTAGTGTCCAAGACCACTTCATGCTCGTGATCAAAGATCCTACAAGTACATAGGGTTTGACGACACTTTTTTTCACAACACTTTTATAATCAGAGTTCGGAGTAGAATGAGTTTGAATATGTATTTGGAAGTTTGCCGATACTCTGAAAAGCCTTTTATCTAAGTAGGTGAGCAGTTGCAAGGGATGTATAACGCAGCGTTCCAATTTGTGATCTTGTACAGCTATGCGATCTAATGTAGGGCGCGTCTAGTATAACCATCAAGGTTTACATCAATGCTGGTGAATTATGAAATAATTTATCTTGATGATTTTTCCCTGACAGAAGAAATGGATAACCAGTTATGTTCCTATGATCCAAATCACTAAGAAAGTCAGATCTTATGTGAATGCAAAGACCGAAATTTCAGTATTTGTTTTAAACGCAATGGAAATGAACCAATTGATTTTATTAGCTTGAATTACGGCCTTCCTCATAGCGTTTTTGAGTTAATCTTATTTAGTTACACACAAAAACTCTTTGCAAAGTTCAAAAGGTTCTAATGCGGGGAAAAAACAATTTATAAGGAAATCACAAATCACCTCAAATAATACAGACTCTGGTATGAGGCTAGGGGATTTTATCGAACGGAATAACGTCTTGAACAGCAAAAGGAATGATTAATATGTAAGCGTTTAATTCATGAGAATGGATAAATGTATTATCAACAAGATGGGATCAAACATCTTTCTGCAAGGATCAAAGTAACTGTTTCTGGCAGGCAGTAAAGTCAACAACCACCAAATGCAGCATCACGTAACCCTGAGTTAAATCAAACACGACCTTATTATCAATAGCCGGACAACTTACGACGATGAAATTGAGTAATGAAGGTAAATCTTTATCCACAATGGGATAATAAAAGTTCAGACAAAGAGGACCGAATAACACGAAACGTGT